CCCCACCCCCGCCTCTGGCTCCTCTGTTTTCACCCCTGTGTGAAGGTGTTCCAGTATGCTTTCTCTTTCTCTTTCTCCTTCATTATTCCCTTGGTAATCCTGATCCTTAACACTATTGAGTTGACTCTCGTGTTAGTATCTAGCCCTTATCTATCTTCTGAGTTGCTAGTAAGTACCCTTAGGTTGAGTTGTTTGACATTACCATGTGGATGTCCTGCCAACACTTCCATTTCAGCATCTAAAACTGTACTCACATCTTTTCTGTCAGATTGCTCCTTCAGATTTTCTTATTTCTGTTAATACTACCACTCTCTTAGTTACACAGATGGGGCGATTTTGGAGATGGTCTTCTTGTCCTTCGGCCTCACCTCTCCTCTTTTGTTGCACTGTCATTTTTATTTTCTTACTATCTCGCCTTCCTCCAGCTTTTTATTCCCACCGCATTCCATCTCAATTTATGCTTACTAAGTAGGGTTCCTCTCCCAGCCTGTCCTTCCCACCAGTATCAAGTGGGTCTTCCTGAAGCACTACAATGCTTTGCTCTTTGTAATCCTCTACTCAGATAATTGTAGTAGCTCCTCAGACTCTCTGATTCCTTTAAACTGGCTCAGACCTTCCTTCTAGCCTCTTTAGACTGCCATCTTCACATACTAGTTTCTGGTCAAATTAAACTACTTGGCATTCTCTGCACACACATGTGCTTTTCCATCTCGGTGTTTTTGCCGATAGCACTCCCTCCTCTTGAAATGACACACTCCTTTATCTCCTATCTACCGAAATCCAACTCATTCTTTATGTCCCCACTCAGATTTCATCTTGTCTGGAAAGCCAGTCTGGCTTATCTTAGCCTGAGGAGAACTCGTCCCTTTTCTGTACTCTTCTCTGGTTTGTGATACATCGTATCTGTAACTGTCATGTTTTGTCTCCGTTCTCAATTGTAAACTCTTTGAGGGCACAAACTTAGTTTATTCTAAGATTTTTTTATAGTCTTCACAGCATCAAGAATAGTGCTTCTCAGGGAACTCTACTCAATACCCTGTAATGACCTATATGGGAAAAGAATCTAAGAAAGAGTGGATATATGTACACGTGTAACTGATTCACTTTGCTGTACAGCAGACTAACACAACATTGTAAATCAACTATACCCCAATAAAAATTAATTTAAAAAATTGTACAGTTTCAATAAATTTTTTTTGAATTTTATTTTATTTATTTATACAGCAGGTTCTTATTAATTATCCATTTTATACATATTAGTGTATATCTGTCAATCCCAATCTCCCAATTTATTCAGTAAATTTATTCTTTTTTTTTTTGCGGTTCGCGGGCCTCTCACTGTTGTGGCCTCTCCCGTTGCGGAGCACAGGCTCCAGACGCACAGGCTCAGCGGCCATGGCTCACGGGCCCAGCCGCTCCGCAGCACGTGGGATCTTCCCGGACCGGGGCACGAACCCGTGTCCCCTGCATCGGCAGGCGGACTCTCAACCACTGTGCCACCAGGGAAGCCCAATAAATTTATTCTTTTATTTACGCAACACCTACTGTGTTGCAAAGCCTTTTTGGAAAGCACTTAAAATTATGGAGGTGGGCCATCTGTAAAGAAGTAACTGATATCAAAAAAGATGAAACAGGTGTTATGACTGAAGTAACAAGAGTGTTTTTGGATCCTAGAGCAAGGAATGGTTAGATAAATTATAATGAACAACTATTGAATATTCTCTGGAGGGTTAAGAATTTGCGGCTAGTGGAACAACTCAGTTGTTAGGCAGATTTGGAGGAATTCAGAGTCCAACTAGAATGCTTCTTCCTTAGATCTAAAATAGACACCATTCAAAGTGATTTAACATTTTAATTTTTAGATTAAGCTTTGAGAAATTACAGGTTTTATTTCTGAAATCTTTGCATTGTAGGAATTAAAGGTTGGATTTTTACAGTACTGCCTGATAGTTATAATTTAGTTAATTAACATTCTTCTGATTTGCTCGTCTGTTTTGTTCTGTTTCTTTCCATTTTATTAAAGAAGACTTTCTCCAGACTGGTGCAGTTGTTGACCTGTTCCTGTGGTAATGTGTTTTTTGTTGCAGATGGTGTGGATGGAAAGCAAGCCCGTAGAACCAATTCCAGCACCCCGTTAGGGGAGCTTTTTGACCATGGCCTGGATAGTTGGTCATGTGTTTACTTTGTTGTAACTGTGTATTCCATTTTTGGACGAGGATCATCTGGTGTCAGTGTTTTTGTTCTTTATCTCCTGCTATGGGTAGTTTTATTTTCTTTCATCCTGTCCCACTGGGAAAAGTATAACACAGGGATTCTTTTCCTGCCATGGGGATATGACGTTAGCCAGGTGGTAAGTATGGGTTCTTCCTTAAATTTTCAACATTGCCATGAATTTTGGGGAAAGTTTTTGTTATTCCTTCTTTATTGATCTTTTGCTGTTTTGGTTAGAACTGATGGGTGCTTTAACATTTTTTTCCTTTTTATTTTATATTATTTTTACTTATTTATGGAAAATTTCCAATGTGTACAAAAGTAGAGAGAATAGTATAGTGAACCCTTATGTACCTGTTACTTAGCTTGAGCAGTTAACACTTGGCCAGTCTAGTTTCACATGTACTCTTCCTCACCCTCCTTCCCATTATTTTAAAGGAAAATCCTGGCATTATGTGATAAATATTTTACTATATATCTCTAAGTGGTAAGAGTTCTTTTTAAAAAACATAATTACAATGCCATTATTACACCAAAAAATGAACGGTTTCTTAACAAACATTCATTGAAACTGTTGATTTTATAAAGAAAGTTGGCGCTTATAATTAAATTGTTGGCTTTTGTCTTCATTGCCAGCTTTTCAGTGAGTAGAGAGATTTGTTTTCCTCTTACTTTGTAGGCTTGCTGTTAACTCTCCCTGCCTTAGAATCCCAGCTTTTTGTGTTGCCATTTTGCCCATCTACACCTAAGGCTCCAGTAAAGAATCAGAAGTTGGAGTGTGTTTGAAGAAAGTGATTGGGTGGGCAAATTGGAACATCGTGTGGCTAAACCAATTTACGAGGTGCCTTATGAGGCCAGTTGTTTGCATTGTCTAGAAGTTAGTTATTTTATGGTGCTGTTGGCTGAAAAAACTATTTTTAAAGGCAAGAAGACTTGCCACCATATCAAATTTAAGCATACTTCTTGCTTTTACTAAAACTGTTTACTAGACTTATGCTGCATAAAGCATTATTGACTCCCTGATCTTTCCAGCTGTTAATGCTCTGTATACTTTTGTCTGCATTTTCCTTCCAGACTATTTCCTTTGTCTACATAGTGACTGCGATTGTGGGAGTTGAGGCCTGGTATGAACCTTTCCTGTTTAATTTCTTATATAGAGACCTATTCACTGCAATGATCATTGGTAAGAAGCTCCATGTTGAAGCCTGTTGTAACATCGCTTTGTTATCAAAGCCAGTGTTTGATTATAACCAGCAGCACTTCCCCGCCTGCCCGCACGCCCTGCAACAAAAGCAGAACCCCGCAACCCTGTAGGGTTTCAGCCAAACCCCTAAGGAAAATAAGGTTGCTTTGTTTTGCTTTGTTTTGTTTTTGTTCAGCACCAAGTTATTTCTAATCAGAAGGCAATACCGAAATAGATCACACAAACCCTGTAAACTTAACTATTCAAATTAATCTAGACTGTATTGGAGGATCCACATTTAGTTGGACGTTCGGTATTGATTTTAATACTTATCTCAAAATTGAAGATTGTTAGTTTGAGGAAATAGAATGATGAAACACAGAGTTTACTTTATAATACATCCACTCCAAAAATTGAGCTTCTGTTCCTCTCAGATACCCTTTTTCTTAAGCCTTTGAGTGCTCGGTAAAGGTTTTGATCACGGTAATGTTTCCTTTTTGATTTTAGCCAAAGGGGATATGTACAGGATGACTGAGTGGAGGGAGAGTGTTTTTATGGAGAGAGGCAGAGAGGAAGAGGAATCTGGGTTGTTATTTGGGGCACCAGGAGTGAGACTAAGACCTTTGTAGAGTAAAAGAAAAAAACTTGTTGGCTGTTGCTCTGTTCTCTTATCTAAAAATTAATCTTCCCTCCGTCTGTCTGTGAACCTTGGTTACAGAATGGGAATTGAAGGCTTAGAAACAGCTGAGAAGATGGTGCATTAAGAACTGGCTTTCAGAAAAGGAGTAGTTTGGGGATTTTCTGTGGCTCTGGACTGCAGATATTTTAGGAACCCTGCTGTAATCTAACAAATGTTCATTTTTGGGTGCCTCTATAAACTGATTTCTTTACCTTGAAAAGGCGAGCTATTTTTCATCTCCAGCTATCGTTCATGAGTGAATCTTTTGATTTATGCAGCTTGTCCTGTGGCAGGTGTGCTGCATTTTACATTTAAATGTTTATTTAAAGATAAAATGGAATCTCCGACATAGGAGATATATTTTTGAATGTTAAGTGGGTACTTTAATAGGCATATAAGTTTCTTTGTAATTTATAATTTTTGGCAGCAATACTTATTAGGTAATGGTACTTCCTATTGCATCACATTAGGGGGCACACGATAGCTAGTTGTCCTTCTGTCTGTGGTATCAGTAACGACTAGAGGGATGAGGTATTGTACATCTGTTCCATCTCTTCCCAAGTTCTGCCTCAACTCTTCACCTAGTGGTACTAACAGTCGCTGATGATCATTCATTCAGTGGATAGCCAGGGGGATAAAGTTTGGTTTTTGATAAAGTACCTCATAAATTCATACTGATAATTCCAAATCATATTTGATGATACAGATCTTTTACTTAACCTAGTTGATCTTATATTTGTATGTCCTTTAAACTCTGACAAAAGTCTTTGGTTTCAACGACACAAAATAATTATACATTTGTGTTATTCCATAAAATACCCACAACAGTCTGAGAATGTAGTTCCAATATCAACGACATATGATTACTGGAAATTGTTGAAGATTTTGTTTTTTTGCAGTTCCATTTGCCCTATGGTTTATCCCACTAGAGAATGCCCAGTCAGGTTATTATAGTCTAAAGTCCCCATTCTGTGGTTATGCCACCATCTGTGGATATGTACATTTAAGTTAGTTTCATTTTACTTTTGATATTTATGGATTACTTTTTCTTTTAAAATTTTATTTTTCCTTTATAATTATGTAACGTATTCACATGATTACAAAGTCAGATCTATACATAAAACAAGACATATTCAAAGAAGTCTAGTCTCTATCACTACCCTAGCCTTTTCTTCCCTCATAGTTAACTATTCTTAGTTTTAAATTTTTTGGTTTATATTTTCATTGTTTCTTTCTTAATATAAGTAAGTGTGTGTGGGGGGGGGGAGTTTATCACCCCCTTTCATAGATAAATGGTAGCATACTATACATATTTTACTACACATGCTTCTTTTTTTTTCCCCCCTCCACATAATAGTGTATCTTAGAGATCACTGCATAGTGATGTTTAGGGATCTTCCTCATTTCTTCTTACAGCTGCCTGGTACAATACTTCATTGTGTGGATGTACCATCATTTGTTCAAACAACCTTCTACTGATGGACATTTGTGTTATTTCCGGTCTTTTGCTGTTGCACAAATTGCTGCAATAAATCGTCTTGTACATATATCTGTTCATATTTTTCCCAGGGTATTTTGGAAGAGGTCTCTAGAAGTAGAATTGTTAGTAAGGACAAATGTATGCATTTTCACTAAATATTCCCATATTCCCTTCCGTATGGGTTATCTGATTTTTGAATTCCCATCAGCCGTGAATGAAAGCACTTGTTTCTTTAGTTTTACCAATGTAGTATGTTGTCAAACTTTTGGATTTTTGCTAGTCTGTGATAGGTAAGAAATGGTATATCTGTATAGTTTTAATTTGCATTTCTTTTATTATGGATGAACTTTTCTAGTGTTTGAGAGCCACTTATATTTCTTTTTTCTTTATATCTCTAGTCAATTCTTGCATTACGATTGTTAACCACTTCCTTTATTTTTAGAAGCTCTTTATCTATTAGGTATATTAATCTTTGTTTTGATATAAATGACATTTTCCCCCTTGTTTGTTGTTTGTCTTTTTTACTTTCGTTAAAGTATTTTTTGTCTTGTTGGTTTTTATTGAAGTTTTAATTTAAGCCTGGAAATATGAGGAACCAAAATATTTGTTGTGACCATGTTATCCTTGGTGTTCATCTCATTCTAATCAATCCTTTTTTATGAATTCCATTCTGATTTTTCTATAGCTATTGTTTCCTATATTATGAAGTCTTGGCCTTCCTATGGTAATAAAAAAAGCAGGTCTACATATGTGTGGGTTCTATCACTATCGTTATATAGAGTTTAATAGACAAGTATTTAACAATTAAATATTCTTTATAGAAAGTACGTCAAGTGTTATTTAGAGAAGAAATAGAAGATACAGTGTTTCTCTTTGGCAGCCTATATAGAGCTCAGGCTTTCTACACGCTTACTGCACTTAATTAAGATAAAGCTATTTTAGGATATTTTAAACTAAAAAACTCTTGGTCCCAAGTCTTTTGCAAGTTTCTCTCAGCCTATTTTCAACACCTGAAAGCTACAAATGATTCTGGGTTAATTCATTTAGCCCTGGCACCCTAACAGTGTGCTCCCCAGCTTGACATGGAATGAGCTGCTAAAAATTTCTGAGGACATTGAGGACATCTTGTCTTCTCTTCCACTCCCTCCAAGATCTTTTAACTCAGGGAACTTTGTTCCATTTGGGCTTGAAAGTAGTAGAGTAATTCATCTTTTGAGATGAGATTTCTGTTCGGTGAATTCTAGTTTTTTCATCTTTTTTTTAATAAATAAATAAATTTATTTATTTATTTATTTTGGGCTGCATTGGGTCTTCAATGCTGCGCGCAGGCTTCCTCTAGTTGCGGCGAGCGGGGGCTACTCTTTGTTGCGGTACATGGGCTTCTTATTGGGTGGCTTCTCTTGTTGTGGTGCATGGGCTCCAGGCGCGCGGGCTTCAGTAGTTGTGGCTCGTGGGCTCTAGAGCGCAGGCTCAGTAGTTGTGGCGCACGGGCTTAGTTGCTCCGTGGCATGTGGGACCTTCCCGGAGCAGGGATGGAACCCATGTCCCCTGCGTTGGCAGGCAGATTCTTAACGACTGTGCCAGCAGGGAAGCCCCTTTTCATCTGTTTTTAGCAAGGTGCCTTAGGAATTGTTTTGAAGGAATGTTCTTCTGTCTTTGATCCTTAAGGTCACAGCTGCATTGACCACTGCCCCCGCCCCCTCAAGCCAAGTTTAGTCACCAGGAGTCCAGAATGGACTAATATGTTGAGTGACAAGGAAATATCCAAATGAAGTGTCCAGAAAGTTGCCACATATATTGATTTGGAGTTTGAAACAGAGAAAGATTAGAACTTTACATCTCTATAGATCATAGAATCAGATTCAGGGGTCACTAGAAAATCATTTAAACCATCCTCATGGTACACCTGTGGAATCTGAAAATCAGAGAGATTGTCTGATTTGCCCAAGAGTACATAATTAGATTTTGGACTCATCTGCAGGTAGCTTATGGTTAAAGCTGAAGAGAAGATTCTCTGAGGGAGTGTAGATGCACAGTCAAACATCCAGTTAGGAATATGCAGGAGGTAGATTACCAAAAAAGGACACCAAATGTAATGGTTGGATGGCTAACAGGAACGTTGGGTGAATGGAATCACAAAGGCCAAGGGAGGAAAGAATTGCAGTTAGTGGATAGTCAGCAGAGTCATCTTACTTAGAAGTCAGGAATGAAGAAAGGATACTGAATTTGACTATTAGGAGAGCTTGATAAATTTCAAGAGTACAGTTTCTGCAGAGGGGAGGCAGAGTGAATGAGTGCTGAGGAAATGAGGACAACAGGAAAGTTTGGTGAGTGATAGGAAATAGCAGAGTAAGATAAGTAGATAGTGAGAGCAGCAGAAGCAGTGGTAAGGCTTCTTGGGAAGGCTGTCCTTTTAAGGTTTCAGGGGAAAGATTCAGTGTATAGGGTAGGGGGAGAAATTAAGAATGCTAGGGAGGTAAAGATAAGTGTAAAGGAAGCAGCAGGATTTATCAATTGTCCCCTCTTCCAATAAATAACTTATACTGGCTGTGCAATTTACTATATACCAGGTACTGTTCCAGGTGTCTTTGCATGTAATAACTCATTTAATTCTCAAAACCCTATGGGGTTGATACTACTATTATCTCTATTTTATAAAAGAGGAAACTGAGTCACTGAAAAGTTAATTTGCCTGAAGTCACGTGACCAGCTGGTAGCACAACTGAGATTCAACCCGCTCTGGCTCCTTGAGTCTCTGCTCTGAATCACCAAACCGTACTGCCACTCTTCCAGTTGTAAATGCTGTTCAAAAATGTGTTTAATTTCATTACAGAAGTAAACCTGAACCTGAAAATTATTGGGTCTAAAAATATTACATAGTTTGTATGTATTTGATTATTATAAAAATGACTCTTGAATAATAATTCATGATAATTTAAATATTCTTCCTTTTAGGTTGTGCATTATGCGTGACTCTTCCAATGAGTTTATTAAACTTTTTCAGGTAAGTATTTTATTTTTTAATTGGGCAAGAAATATGAAAATCTTTAGAAATTGTTATTTAGGTGAATTTTAGGATTTCTTTCTTTTGCAATCTGGGCATTTTGGAAAGGTCATGAAACCTGTATTTTGAATCTAGAATGAGGTTAGGATAATTTGTCTGTGGTGGCTTGTGTAGTCAATTCAGCCGTAGCCCAGAACTACTAGTTTTTTTGTAAAAGTTTTGGGCTCACCAAACAGTCTTCTAATTTGTCATTTTTTTGTGAGTGAATCAGGAGGGAGTATGTTCCTGTCAAATATTGATAGGTTTACGTTCTTTTTATAAATTGATTATAAGTTTTTATAAATTGATTATGTGTAAGTTTAGTTAGCATGATCATACAATAAAACTTCTCAACTTGTGTAGTTGAGGACCAAATCCTGGACCTATGCCGCCTCTTCTCAAAGAGCGCCATATGGAAATTCCGGCCTGAGGAGTGTGTAGGGGTTGGGAGGGGAGCTGCCCTGGTGGAGTTGCATCTCTCTGATCTATGTATGCACTTCTCCACTTTGGCTCAGCCACACTGAGTCCAATTATGTGACCTGAATGTATTTTGTTCTTTCATTCCTCAGTACTTTTGCTCCCACTTTTTCCTCTACTCCTGTTTCCTCTACTTGGAATACTTTCTTGTACTTGCCACTTCATCCTTCAGTGCTCAAATCTGTCTTGCACAGTCCTAACCATGTCAAGCCAAGCTCTATGAATCTTCCCTCTTTACAGCCACTGGCAGTCATTCATAGAAGCCATAAAATTTAAAGCTCTGAAGGCCTTAGAGATGATTTGAGTCATGTCTTCCTCTTTTTCTAAAGTTGAGGTCCTGTCCTGATTGGGCAGTATTTTGCCTAAGGTTATGTAATTAGTGGCAGAACCGGACTGAGGATTGAGGGTTCAGTTCAGATGAGCAAACATATATGAGAGTACCACCTGTGTGCCCAGAGCCACTAAGATATGCTGTGGACCGTCTCATTTCAGAGTCTTTCACTCTTAAGTTGTATATCATAGCAGCACCATGAGGTACTCTTCTAGTATTGTTTTGTGTTCATTTTATTTTTCCTATTAGAATATAATCTGACAGGACACAGTCCAAGTTTTATTCATCTTTACATTCCAGAGGGAAAAGTGAGACTAAGGGTCAGAAGACTTCCATTCTAGTCCTGGCCCTGCCACTTGGTAGCAAATTATGTAAATTTAAATTCTCACATCCTCACTTAACCTGTCTCTAAAATGGGATTAATAATGTTGGTTCTACCTATGCCATGGGGTTATTGTGAATAAAAATAAGAGAATATGAAAGTACTTTGAAAACTATGAAATACAAGTACAGTGTTTTTATATGTAATAATGTTCTTTGTATTACTTGATTTTTTTTTCCAGAAGCTATAAAAATAACACCTTGAAACACAATTCAGTCTATGAAGCTATGGTTCCCTTCTTTTCTCCATGTTTGCTATTCATTTTGTCTACAGCATGGATCCTCCGGTCACCTTCAGATATTTTAGAGTTACATCCTAGAGTATTCTACTTAATGGTTGGAACAGCCTTTGCCAATATCACAGTAAGATTTTTTCTTTTAAAAATCGTAATACATATAAGAAATATTTGACAGAATTCAATAGTTTGAGAAACCTTATATAGTATTAGAATAAGCAGATTTTAATTTAAAGATCTTATATCAGAAATTTGAAAGAATAATTAATAACCTCAAAGACAGAACATGCTGAAAGTTATTTTATTTTTTTGTTTGAAACCAGTAGGATTTGGGGACTGCTGTAGTGTTTTGGAACCATGGCATAATTTAAATTTTTTGTTTTGGTTGCCTGCTGAAGAATTCATGGAATAATTCCCTTCAGACTCTAAATATTATTTATAGTGTGGTTGAAATGGCAGCAGATCTAACGCTTAATTTAGGGAGCTTGGAAGGGGTTTTTGAGGGAGGAAACACACACACATGTTTTTTAATCAACTGATTTTTAAATTAATAACATAGAATAAAAAACTTTGTAATAAATACTACATACGTTAAAAAATCCCTTTCTCTGCTCTGGCCCAGCAAGAGGGCAGACAGGGAGGAAAGATCAGGAGGACTTGAGAAAAGACCCTGTTGGTCCTGACAGCCAGGAAGCCTGTGCTCTAGCTCAGGCCGGGTCCTTAATAAGTTTTTATTTTTTAACTTAGCCACTGAGTTTATGTTTCCATGTGTGTAACTTGTGTTTACTATCCCAAGTTATACTGATTTCATAGGGTTTAAAGATCTGAAAACATTAATGCATTATATAAAATGTATCTCTGAAGGAATAAAACTATATTTGAGTAAGGTGTTGAAAGTAAAGAGAGCCAAAGAGGTTTTGAGGTGTTGTATGATAACATGTCTGGATTGGAGGTAGCATCTCCTCATCACCATGAAGAAATTTAGTTGTGTGGTGCTGTGGGAGGGTGTTCTGAGAAAATTGTTGTCGTATATCATAGAATCTTAAAATTGGGAGAAATTTCTTTTATCCAAACTGTTACCCAGTAGAAGAATGCCTTCTGTAGCATCCTTACTAAATTATCTTCCAGTCCCTTCTGACACACAGTCTAAGGGTCCACGGGTTTGGAGGTTGGGGTAGAGGTCCAGTTGGGCTCCTGAGCAGTTGAGAATTACTGAACTTGATAATAATGTAATGTACAGGTACTTGAATGCTTTTTAAATGTTGGAGTGACTCGTGCTTTGCTAATTAAATTTTCATTCTCTCTTTTTTTTTAATAACTTCAAGTGTCAGCTGATTGTTTGTCAAATGAGCAGTACCCGGTGCCCAACTTTGAATTGGTTTCTGGTTCCTCTCTTCTTGGTTGTCATAGTGGTAAATGTAGGAGTAGCCTCTTACATTGAGAGCATTCTCCTGTTTACATTAACAACTGCTTTCACTCTGGCCCACATCCATTATGGAGTACGAGTGGTGAGTAATCTAGAGCAAAATTGGTTCCATTTGATTCTTAAGTAGTGGCATGGAGGTGAGGGAGAATTTCAGAAGAAACTTGCTTAATACAGTAGCTGGAAGAATTTTGGGATATTCTCTAAATTTTGGATAATATCCAGGTGCGTGATGCCCTGTATCATTTCTGTAATTAATATGTCGTAGTAACTACAAATAATTTCAAAGCTAGATAATTATTGTGAGGAATTAGTTCCTGTTTATAAGTGAGAAGAAATGTAAACCATTTTCTTGGTAAAGAATTATAAACTCTTCTGTGCTTTTAATTATATATAGGACAAAATCATCTTATTTGTTGTTTATTTCTATGCTTGCTTCTTTAGCTTCAGGGGCATTTTTATAAGGGGAAATATAGAAGAGAGTAGATTTAAGAAGTATTCTGCAAACCTTAATATTCTCTTCTAAAATAAGAAATGGGTTTCAGGACAAATGGACTAAGATAGGTATAATAAAATGAAAATCAGAACCATGCAGTTTAGTTTCCTTTTCCTCACACTGTGACATTCTTTTCTAATTATTTTACATATCTTGGCATGGTCTCATAACTATGATTTTGAATTGCTGTACAATATTCCATTGAGGAGATTACTTAATAATTATCAGTTTACTTAACCATGACTCAGTTATTTTAATCATTTAGGTTGTTTCCAGATTTTCACTATTATAAATAAAGTTGAAGTGAACTATCTGGAATAATATTTTTTTCCTTCATTTGCTTTTTTTCTGAGGATAATTTCATAGCAGTCGGGTCATGTGATAGGGTATTCATATTTCTGTGGCTTTAAAAATACTTCTATTTGGTATGTTTGTTTTGAAAGGAACCCTGCTGTGAATCAGTTTGAGAAACACAATGTCTTTACTTCTGTATTGTCAGACATATTTTTAAAACGGGGGCACCTGTCATGCTTGATAACAACTTCTTATACCTTGCATATGTTTCTTCCCTTAGTGTTTCTCCCCAAAGTAGCCCACATTTGTTGGAACAAAACAGATGAAAGAAACCATAAGTCTATGAATTGTGACACGAAGACATAATCATTTATGTTTTTGTTTGCACAAATTTAACGTCATATGCTTTATATCAACACTCTGAGGCTTTATTCTGATATTTCATCAGTCATACGCATGAAGTGGAGCACAGTAACCAGTGTCTTTCATAATTGTTTTAACTTATTATAACCCTCAGAAGCATATCTTTAGAAAACCATATACACATGCCAAACCAAACCAAAACACATTTAAATTACAAAAGCAGTACATTTTCATTGTTAAAAATCTGGAAAATAAAAAGAAGCTCCAGCTAACTGAGGAGGAGTGTCTTTTGTTTGGTCTGTCTGCTCTCTTAACACTTGTACAACTTCTGACCAGAAGATAAAACTTGTTAGACCACACAAAAACATTTCACTTGAACTACTGAAATGTAAATATTAAGAAGAAAAATGGAAATAAGAAGGATTAAATAAACCGTATTTGCTAACTGGCACATTACCTTGCTTTTGCCTACCCACTAGGGATACCCTAAGTAATATGACTTAAACTGTCAAAAATTTGCAGATCTAGTTTTATACTGTTTCATCAGATTAGGAATGATTACCTAGAAGTGTTACAAGAAGGTGAACATTGACTCTAACCATATATGTAAATATTTGATCTGATAGATACTATAAGTCAGCTAACCCTATAATTTTTCAGTAGATTTGAATGTAAGGCTTTGTGGTCTGGAGGGTTCTGGAAAGACTAGATTTTGGAGTTGGGCAGACCCAAGTTTAAGTCCTAACTCTCCCAGGGTAGTTCTAGTACTCATTTAGCCAGCTAGCTCTGCAGCTATCCTAGTCCAGAAAAACCTCTTCATTTCTGATGATTTTTGCCATGCCAGTAAATTGTTGTCTCCAGAGGATGAATTCTATATGCTTTTTTAAAAAAATTACATATGTATTTGTCATTGCCTTATGTTCTGGTTTTCTGTAGGTAAAGCAGCTGAGCAACCATTTTCAGATTTACCCCTTCTCATTGAGGAAACCAAACTCGGATTGACTAGGAATGGAAGAAAAGAGTATTGGCCTGTAATCTACAGAAAGAAGTGCTGTAAATAAGATGCTTGTAAATATTTCATCCATCACCATTGAACTAAATTAATCTGTTTAACAGACACGGGAACTCAGTGTGTGTGGTACTTGGACAGCAGGAGTGATACATGTGATCTGAACTTGTGGAATTTCGGACCTACTAACTCCCAGCTTCTTTTATTTTGTTTTTTATAAAGCCATGTGATGTTTTGGTTAAACATAATATACATTAGACCAGCAAAATGTTCCTAGTAATTTTAGCTTCAGGAGTCCATAATGTTTTGGTTTATACAGAGTTAAAGATGCGTTGGTTTTTATTTTTAAAACCCCCAAATTTGTTTAGGAACACTGATAACATTCAGAAGACCCAGTATGTTTTCATATTTGGTACTTAGTAGTAGGTCTTTAGCTATGGAATCTATCAATAGCCCAAATCCAACATAGGCAAAAGATAAGAGCAAGTCACCTTCAGCAAGAGATGCCAAATGATTACAAAACAATATACAGTTGCCAAATACTGGTTTCTCTTTCCCATGGAAATGCCTTTTGTCCTCATGTGCTAAGAGAGCTAAAATATATATATATATATATATTTAGATTCTCTAGTATTCTGGCTCTCTTTGTTATGGAACGGATCTTGATAAATGGTTTAATTTTCTTTTAAAGAAAAATATTCTCTTGGGACTTAGTAGAGAATGGATTGTAATTATAGCTCACTCATTGGCATGGTTCATTGTTTAAATGTGGCATTTTTTCCCCCTCAGCTGCAAGTTGCCGAGATTTGGTGCCTATGAACTATGATCATATAAATGCATGTGACAGTCCCAGTCTTACAATAATTACTTGTGAAGAACACAGATAAACTTCCTTATAAGAAAAATTTTCTTAGGAGTTAGGAATCTCATGCACCTCACTATGAAATTAGTTTTCTGATTTAATTTGTTCTTCCTCTCTCCCTCTGTCTTTTTCTGTGGAAGGGAGTGCTGTGTTTTTTATTTCATACAGGATAAAGAAATAGAAATTTTCTCTTCCCCAACTTGCTCACTTCCCCACTTGAAGAAAATTTTTGATATATATGCCTTACTGAGTATGTGCTCCCTTTATGTGACTTGGAGTAATTTTTTAGGTTTACTGACAAACATAAAAATCTCTTTGACTTTAATATGGTTGTTTTATGATCACACCTTTTCGTGAATGTGGATATTCTATTTCTTTTTTTATTTTGTCTCCATTTAATTTGGTGGTGATGAAATTTACTGGCTGATTTTCTTTTATTTTCCACTGAATGAAGTTTGTGCTTGAATGAAGAGTGTATCTTAAACCCTTTTTTTTGGATGGATTGCACTTGGATAAAATAGGCACCACTGTGTTGATATGTAATTAAATCCATAATCATTATTTATCTGTGAATGTGACCATCGTCAAATTTAATTATAGTGTATTCCTCTGTTGGATTTTAGTCTGCTGCTTTGTAAAAATAACTATGTAATTGATATTTCAGTTTTTAAATGTGTAAAGTCTAATCATTGTCATTCAGGTTGTTAGAAATGAGGCATCAAGGAGCTAACACATGGTTCTGTACTCATTTTAAAAAATTGTAAAGGTTGAGGTATATTTGGTGACTTTCTCTGAGACAAAAATGAACACTGAAAATAGGTGAGAAATTGATGAAGGGAAATATGGGTAGTGATTTCATGTTTGCTAGTAAATTGCCATCATGGCGGTCAGAGAATGAACTAATTAAGTAAAAGTAACTATTTTTTGTATACCTTGTTCTGTGTCATCTGTAAAATTGAACTGGATAAAGTGTTAATTTGGGCCTGGAACAAAGCTTTGTTTTAAGGTTCTGAGCTAATCATTTTATTGTTTTGTTGACCTTGTATACAAAAATGAGGTTAATCTGTATTATAAAAGAACTGATAAATATTTATAAAATGACAGATGTGGACCACAGGCTTTCTTTACCATGTACAGTATAGTAAAAACAACAACAAAAAAAAAAAAAACCCTTTACTTCTGGCATAGGGTCATGTCCTGTAATTTTGGGGCTGTTTTACCTCAAAGTGTGTTTCTGCTCTTTTTCTGTTGCATCAGGTTTATTTGAAAATTGTTTTGTGCCTATATGTTATGACATATTTCCCAATGGTGGTTAAGAATTATGCTATAGTCAGTTTTACTGGCATCGTTTGATGAAAGATTGCTGTCAAGAAGATAAAAGATGAGAAGTGAGTAATTAACTGTTTCAGAATACTGTGGACTTGTGAATCTTTAGTGTACTGTTGACTCTTTTTCTTGGTTTAGTCTGCTGTCTTGAAGTGCGTCATGAAAGCCCCCATTTGTTATGTAGTGATACAGCAGCCGAAGCAGGACTCCATTACAAAGAGCTCTTGTGAATTTACGTCATTGCCAATTATCATAACATTTCCGAAGTATAAAGTATCTTTTAGGCTTATGCATGATATTTTGGAGTGCGTTCACACCCCAGCCTTTCTCCCAGCATACGCTGAGCTGCCTTTTGGGGAGCAGTGGCATGATTGGTCATACATGCATGTTTTCTGTACATTTCAGAATAGAATGCCTTAGCCAGGCCAGAGGTTTGCTTTGTGTTTCTTCTGACCAAAATTACCTAGAGCTGTAAGAAGTTTCTTTTCAGGTTATGGTATGAAAAATGTCCTTTATGCTTGTCAGAAAGTAATTCCCCTATATTTGAGGGGGGCATGGGATAGAAAAATCTTAAAAAATACCTGAGTATGTTAATGCTGCCTTTTATGATCCTTCAGTAGCATTCATGATCCTAGTGTAACGTACAGTTTAAAATTGCCACAATTTAACCAACATTCCTCCCTTAATGTGTAATAGACATAGTTTATGGGTTCTAGTCTTAAGGGTAATAGGGTGAATAACTTCCACATAAAGAACTAAATAGTCTCCCCTGGCATTTTAATAATATCATGGTTAAATTACTTTTAATTGTAATTTTAAAAAGAAGGTTCAATGCTGTTTATGGCCTAGAATGTTATAGTACTATTACCAACATTTCATTTGTTTAAATATAGAGCTGTTGGGAAGAGGAGTGTATGTCTAGGGTTGCCCAAATTCTAAATAGTTACCAAAAGAATATTGGTCATGACCTAGAGCCTGGGCGTTGGGGGAACATGCAAAGGAGAAAGCAGGCATAGTATCCACTTTAAGGGGAAGAATAGATCACTTTAGTGCCCAGTGATCCTACTGCAGTGCACAGTTTAAAATTGTCACAACTTAGTCATTCCTCTACTAACTTCAAGTTCAAATGTGAATTTGAAAGACTCCTAAGTGTTCAGTTTTCAAAGAATTATTTTATTTTGTAGTCAGTCTAAAAACATTTGGAATGTACCTTGCTTTCCAAAGCAGACTTTGATTCTCTAAGTTATCGAGGATAAAAAGATAATCTGAAGGTGTTTGAATCAAAGGCTACTTTTCCCCTTTATATTTTAACAAGAAGCCTATTTGTAACTCGTCCTGTTCATTCTTCACCTGGGTTTTTAACTAGCCACTGTCTAGAACAGAGACGCCCACTTGCTCTGTCGCCCCTAGATCTCGCCACATTCACATCTCCTCGATTGCCTTATCTCTCTTGACTAGTCAAGGACTGGGAACATGCCAGAGGGAACAAAGTAAACCTGATGGACTAGAACATTTGATGTCCGGTCCCCAAATAAGCCAAAAACAGATACAGAAATCTTTGATTGTGTTGATTCTTACGTTCAGAGTGGCCTTTATCTTGACCTCAGTTCTGGACTTGCCTGAGCACTCTATGGAAATTTGTGAAGTCAGACTAGAATTTTCTTTGTCCTATGAGGTGTCCTTGTAAGGCAGCGTGCCCATTCTTGAACACCCTGTGGGTGAATAACCTTAAGTGAGCTGCCAGTACTTGAACCTTCCGGGAAGAATTTTAACTAGTATGCTGCATTTGAAGCACTTTGACATGTACACTTTAAGTGACAGTTTTAACAGTAAAATGGTGTTAAATTAATCACTGTGAAACTTGAAAGTGTGATGCCCTGTACATTTTAGGAAGCTTAAGTAAATTTCTGATTTTCTTTTATTAATTATGTAAACCATGTGATCTGTGTATTTTACTTTTCATCTTTGACAGTGGTGCAAATGACTGACTTATTGGCAGGCAGTTACTTTAGGGTATATGGTAAATCATGGTTGTCTAACTTTTCCAGAGAAAGTGGCAATGTGTTTACTTTTTCCTTTGTGTGAAGCCATGGGAATTGGATTTACTGGCTAATTTATTTCCAGGTTTTCTCCAGTGCAAAATAAACGTAACCTTTTAAACATGCTAGTAATGCTTTCCTTTTTAATAAAAATGCAAGAGATAGTAATCTAGCTGATTGTTTTTAAGCAGAGACCTGCTCTTCTTACAGACAGATCTTAAATGAGCTAATATTTTGGGTAGCAAAAGAAGTTTTGCCGTTTGTAGCCATTTTCACAGGTGGCCTCAGTGAGGGGGTTGTGTTGCATTTGGTCCGAAAGGCCTGGTCCCCAGAATTGGCAAATGGCACATGGCGTGATTCTAGAATAATTTAACAAAGCCTTGTCTTGAGGAGAGTCCATTTGGACACAACAGAAGTATTGTCTCCCACAGGCCATTAACATTGTCTTGCTCTCCATAGAATCATTCTTAGAAAGCTAGGTTCAATCAGAGGAGTGTTATTTTGAAAGCATGTGAATTGGATCATGGCCATGGTGTATCTAATGCTACATTGTAATTAGAGACAGTAGTGAAGATGCAAGGAGGGGCTAAATGCTGTGGATGCCTTATGGCTCTTAGGCTAAGGGCTTCTCTTGAGAAGTTTCTGTGGGTAATAATTAGAATAGGAATTGATTCTGGCTTTTTATTGAAACATAGACAATTTACCATGAATTCTAGATTCTGATATTCTTGAGAAGCACTTTTTAATCTCTGAAGAGTAAGTTCTTGGCCAGAAGCATGTTTAGTTTAGTACTTGATGT